TATTCGTCTGGGAAATCAGAAACACAGTTTGTCTTCAGATGCAAAATACAAGTATATATATCACTTTGCTGTATTCTTCTCTAAATAATTGTTTCCATATTTTTGGCTTCCGTTGGAAGGAACGTCAAATTGTTTTGATTATTAGCTGCTGAAAATGAGGAGACTTTTTTTCCATTATGCTGCCATCCAGCTCTCACCTAATTCAAATTTTTTCCCTTCGTATGATGACTCAAAGTGCTGTTTAGCCACTTCATTCAAGAAATATATAGAAAAAATATATGCTGTTTCCTTTCTTTATTCACTAGTATTGCAGGCTTGGAAAGAACCTCAGATCTTCCAACCACACTGCTCACAGGCGCATCCAGAATCTTGCGGGCATAGACGAGTGCTAAGGGTCTCAAGAGATGGAAATGTAARGGAACAGATACCTCTCGTACCCAAAACCTTTTCATACCTATAAAGCAAATCCCCATTCCAAATCAGAGAACAGCTGCAGTAYGGACTCAGCTCCTTTCGCAGGAGCTGGGAGTTGGCTCCCTTTGAAAGCAAGCTTTCTAGTTCTTCTAAGTATTTTGCTTTGGTTTTAGTCTAGGTAACTGTCTCAAAGCAGTCACAATGGGTTCGTAACAAATACTTCAACTATAATAGCTAGTTCCCAGCCTTCTCTAAAGAATCTCAGTCTTTAACTTTGTCCTGTATTTCTCAGGCATCTCGTGCAGAAGCAGCTCTCTTTGAAGGCAGCTAAATTCACTGCAGTGGAAAGCTGGCTCTTTAAAGTCTTTGCTTTATTAAAGGATTTCTGACAAGAAAAGTGAGTGGAACAGACTAACATAGCAGTTAGCTTGCTAGCAGTGCTTGTTAGCTTGCCCTTCATTCTCCCTCTCCAAGTGTTGGCTTTCTCTACAAAGCTGAAGAGGGTTATGGCTCTCCAATTAGAGTGTTACTGATATATTCCTGAAAAGCTGGTTTCTGAATAGTTTGTTTTGTGAGTATTGTCCGATGAGTATGCTCTGAATTCTAACCCGAAATATAAAATCCTTATGATTTTATTTTGCAGTAGTTAGAGAACAGTCTCCTTGATTGTGTTTGAACCTGAAAAGTAGTGAGCTCACAATTTCTGCTGACCTCAAGCAATTCACCTTCTTGGTACTGCCACTGCTCTCCAGTTACGCAAGTTTTGACTCCCAGTGTTTTACRTTGTAAACAGAATAAAGCCCATTGCTAACTCTTAGAAATATCATTACATGAAGTATGTAATAAGTTATAAATTACATGACAGTTAACATTTTATTTTCTATTTGGCACATTCACGTCCCAATAAACGATTCTGAGAAAAATTGTATAGGTAGATTAGACACACAAGGTTTAAGGCAAGAGTACACGCTCCAGAAACCTCATGTAACTGTATACAGCTAAATATTAGATTCTAGAGCAGAAAAACTACTGAGTAATTCAGATGTGAATCAAAAACCCAAAGATTCAAAGTGATTTTAATCACTGCATGTACTGGACTGGTCAACTATCCAAAACTACAAAATTTTTCAGTGATCAAAACCCACATATAAGTTTATAGCACACAATTCAATCATCTTCAAGTTAAATTTGAGCTACACATACAGCAGCTTATCACTAAAGGACGATGACAAAATGTTGTAATTACAGAAAACAATGGAGTTTTGACATTGACTTCACTAGAGCAATGATCGAATCTAACTAATGCCTCTCACTCATGGTCATAACTAGTCTGGGAGATCAAAGTAGAGATGAAGAGGTAAGTTTAGAAAATTTACTTGATTACATTGCTTCAGGGGTTAGTTGCCAAACAGGAACTTCTCTGGTGACTTTCTGCCATGTATAGATTTCTGTGGGTTTCCATACAATTCAGAAACAATCTGCATTTCAGGTTGGGCAGATATRCTCAAAATCCCCACCTCTATTTTGGTCTCTTCCTCTTGTGGTTTGGTAATCCACAAATSACTGTAATACCTCATACAAATCATTTCAAGAGAGGCATGGTTTATGTAGATCTGCAGCCAAAATAAGACATTATTTTCATTTCATTATTCCTTTTTACATTTCTGGTAACATGGTTAAGACTCTGTATTCCATTGACGTCAATTGGAGTTACATATGTAATACTCAAGAATAGGATTTATGTTCCAGCACATTATATCTGATTTTGAAAGGTTATATACACTATCGTCAGCCGATGGTATGGATCAGGGAACATGTTACATGAACAAATTCTAAGGTGTCATATACAAGTGCATTTGAAGCTATGCATGCACATATATATATGTATACATGGATATATGTACACAAACTTTTAAGAATTCCTCCATTTTTGTTCCTTCATCTAAGCAYGAAACAGTCTGCTATATTTCCAGCATTCCTCAAACTTATCCAAAATATTCCACATTTAGAAGCCAAATATTTGCACTTAAAGAAATTCCGAGCTATAAACCATCATGACTAAGTAAGAAAACTTAGGCAAAAGATACACCATGCCAGTAGATGGCCCGAATGTTTCAGGGTATATCAAAATATATTCATAGTTCACAGCTACTAAAGATGTAATACAGTCTCCTTACGTCATAATAAAAGGAACATTTGCTTTTATCTAGTGTTCAAAGCAGTAACTGACTCTAGGACTTGTCTACAGTTTTGGCCTTTAGTGGATTCTTTCTAGTATTCAGGTTTTGCAATAGTAACCCCAGTAGTTTACAGGCCTATGAAAGAGAAGAGGAACAGACCAGTCATATTTTTCTGGTCAAACACAGAAGACTGAGGATGTGTAAAGAATCTAACCAAATCTTTGTCTCTTATTTTTTTCCTGCATAGTCATTCACACTCCCTGTCCCACTGACTGAAAAATGAGACACATCTGCTCTTACAGATGATATGAGCGGAGATGGTGGCTCTTCACCAGCAGCAGAACAATACAACTCAGGTCAAAATTTTACCCAATTTTCCAAGTGCTTATTAGACCACAGATATGATACTAGTCTCTTGCAGTCAAAATACATAAGTAAATTGAGCAGTAGAATAAGCAAAACAAATACATGCTCCAATACTGTTGTAAAACCATTTCCTTAGCAACAGAACCATAAAATGAAGGCTAGGATAATACTCCTAATTCTTCTCCCCCACTCTCCCTGGGATTTAGATGCAACTACCATATGTTATTGATAGGGAGGGATTCATGCTCTAAACTTGCTATACCCAAATGACAGTTTTTCCACAAAAACTTTGCTACTCCTATTTCATGGTACATCAGTGTGTGAAACTGCTTAGCTATTGAGAACTTCTTAGTAACTTCTTGAATTTCCTCGTGGTAAAATATGACATTTCTATCACCAAATCAACATATTCACCAGATTATATAGTCACACAGACTCCTTGGATTGTTTTAGGTATATAAATGGAACAGTTATTTCTCATGGATCTTTCTATAAAGTAAATGAATTAAGGAGTCTTAAAAATAAAATGGACACACAGGATTTCTATTTTCATCTCCCCTTTTGYTAGCTTTTCTCCCCACCCTCTGTAACGCAATTCTGAGATGAAGTGAATCCCTTTTACTTCCATAGGTTTYAATGGACTGTCAGGAGGAATGACTTTTGCTTTTTCATCTCTATGTAAATATTTAGGTCTAAATAGATACACTGGTCCAAGTCTGGGCTGTGTGCCARCACTCCTACTCTGTAGGAACTAGCTGGATGTCCCCCGTGGATAATTAATCCCTTCTTTGGGGTGGAACCCCAGATGACACAAGCATCATGGAATGACTGCGAACTTCTCTTCCCGCAGGTTTTTATGGGGAGGGTGGGAGCGTGAAAGAGAAGAATTTTTTTTTTTTTTAAATCTATTTGAGCATCTTAAGTCCTGGATGTTTCCACTGGTTGCGTAGCTAAGATCAGTGCAATTGAGGAAAGACCTAAAGCAGCCACACTGCCCTTCTCAGCAGCAGAACCCCATGTAGGTAGCAGAAGGGCATATGAGACAGGGACACCCAAGCAAATTTTTCATTAGCTATTTCAGGTTCTAGTTTCAGGTTCCAAAACAGCTAGAACAGTAAGGTTATACTTCATGWATGATGCATAGTGAAAACATTTTCCTGAATAGTAAATTCACAGGATCACATCCACTCTGTAGACTGAGTCTCAAAGATGCCTGTGAAGATGGATTAGCAATGACCAAATATACCTGATATCCACAAAAAAAAAYTCTCAATCAAATGGCCTAGAAAAGAGGTAGTTTTCATCCATTTCCTTCTTTGATTCCTTTTTCCCTCCAGATTTACACATGCACATGTTATGTATCTGCATATATATACACACATACACACACAGCTATATGGACGTATACTTCAATTCCTCCTCATAGYAGTCCCGTAACAGAGTTCAGAATGTGGCTTATCATTCACTTTTATAGAAGTGGGAATCTTGTCGGGCAGCTCCTGCTGCTTATTAGCCCATGTATTTGTTAATACAAGGTTCTTAAGCTTGAAAAGGCTTAAGTCAGTTTTTTCCCCATTTCAGTATAGCCATTTACTTCAATGAGTCTACTTCCAAAACTGGAACGAACAAGACCTATTCAAATATCTACACAAAAAAACTATACAGAAGGGTAGGGCAGATTTATCCTAGGTGCATATGAAGGATTAAGAGTATCAAGAGCTCCTGGAAATACACAGCTACAGAACTGTAACTGACAGCAACCTTATTTCACCTTCTACCCTCTCCTCCCTCCCAGCACATACACTACACACACTACTCAAGAAAGATCATGAATGAGGACATCAGACAAATATTTCKCACAATAGGTTAAGCCCTGGGAATTCATAGCAAGAAGAAAGGCTAAGAAGTCACTAGTCCTTTTAAGAAAAAGCTACRTATTCAAAGTGACAAATTTCAAGAGCCATTTAAAAATATAGCTCTTTCAGTAGGACTGAAAAAGAGGCCTTGTCATGGAGCAAAAATAACTTAAAAATGACTCACCACCCAGCTCCGCACAGCAACATGGAGTGCCCAGCAAACCGCAGTGGAAGTTGCTCTGAACACCAGCTGATCCAAACTTTGGTCCCATGTTCTGTTACACCAAGAGATGACCAGGGACTGCTGAGTGTTAATCTGCATGGGGGTAACACTACAGGATTTGGCAACGTGTATAGGAAATAGTTCGTTTCGCTCCAGAAAATGTGCAAAGGAATTAAAAAATAATAACAGTTATTCCTGGATCTTTCAGGGAAAACTATGTTGGATAGGCATCCCATTGACCTGAGAAATTCAGAGATACAGACCATGACATGTTAGGAACTGAAGAGCTCCATTCTAACCAGCTGTTTTAGCAGGAAGCCTGGAAGGCATCTATGGCCTTGGAACGTAACTGTCAGACTTGCAACCACTATTCAGAACACCCTTTACATTGTTTACATATGAAGAATATTTTTTAAGACTAATAATGTGTTTCATTTTTTCTCTTTATCATGATTTGTGGCTTTTCCCTTTCGCTTCATTCCCAAAGGTGCACGCTCAGAGCTGTCTTGATTGCAGGGAGGTAACTCAATTGTGCAGTTTAACCTCCACAAAGAAAATCTTGACCTGGGTTGATTCTGAAGGAAGGGGGAAAGAGTTCCACGTCCCATGCAGAGGCTCTGAGCCAAATGTATGAGGTGGAGAGCTGCCCAGATCTCTTGCAGCAGGTATGCAATAAGCCACACTAACTCCTTGTGCGCAGCAACCCCACAGATGCCACTGGGTGCCTGGAGAACACTGCTCTCCAGTTGCAAAGCACCGTGCCCTGATACAGAGCAGCCCTGCTCTGCACAATGGGGCTCTGTGTCCCCAAGGCTGCACACGCTGGGTGAGCTGCCTTTGGTTGCCCAGGGCCAAGTGACATTCCGACTCTAGCAAAATATTTGGAGTGCAGAAGAGAAGAATCGTGTTATATTTGATAATGGACACAGGGATAACTGGTTATTCCACAGTCRTATGTCAGATTTTTATATAACAACCAAGCAAAAGGCAAAAATAAATGCATTCTGAATGAAGCTTTTAAATCCAAAACTCAAAAAAAAACCCCAGAAGTTATGCTGACATCTCACTGCACAAGTTTTATGCTAATTTCCGTATCTACATTTCAACATTCACATTCTTTGACACATTCCAAAATTCTGCTCTACAAAATCCCTTAGAGGGACTTTGCCTTCTCTGTAAAATTAGTCAATTTCTTGATCTACAAAACACAGTTCTCTCTTACCAAGAGATTCAGAAAATGAACTGCAAGCTGAAAAGAATTTTGATTGTGTGAACTTATGACACAATCGCAATTTAGTGTTTTTAGCTATTATTCAAACTCAGTGATGCAATCCAAAAGTTCAATAAGAGCAAATCTTGCATTATATCAAGGGTGATTCTCATCCAGTTGAGAAGTTTAACAAAATCTGAAAAGAGATACTCTGGGGTTCTAATTTACAGTCCAAATAAAGGCATGTGTATCTCAGCTGTAGCTATGTGACCTTTTTAACCATCTACATTAATTCTCAACAACATATAACATCATACTGATCTTATATTCCACTGGGTCTTCTGGTAGCATCTTCTCATTTATGAGAATCAAAAATTCTTTTCAGTTGATAGAAAAAAAGCATCATGAATTTTATCCTAAAAAAAGAATTAATGTTCAATAGGGATTTAAAGGAACACTAACTAACCAAAGAAATAAAAGTATTTTTAAAGATTAAACTTGTGTGCAGCACCTCACAGAATTAATATCACTGCTGGAAGAAAAGGAGGCTGCCTATTTTAGGCAAAGCTCTGTTTTTCAGTACCTGCTTTTCTTCCTTAAAAATGAATTCTGTAGAAGTCAGTTCAAAGCCTTTGTCCCACATCAGCTCACTCTGGTTTATAAATACAATCTCTTTGGTCTCATCGCTATCCTGAAAYCTATTTCTCAAACATATTTAAAGGAAATATATACGTGCAATGGKGAATTAGCCAATAACTGAGTAGGGAGAATGTTTCTTTCTGCATCTCTAAACATTTACAGATGATTTCACATTATTAAGATAAACTACCACAGAAAAGTCCAGGGTAGATAAATAGAGAGCTCAAAGTCTGGAACACTGAAGTTACCTAGCAGCAGTGTTGCTACTTGTCCTACCAGCATTTCTTCAATAGCCCTTGCTTCTGAAACTAAGTCTTTTGACTAAATCTTTTGAGATTTTTAAACTTGGTAGGCTTGGTAAGGAGGAAAAAATAAAACCTATAGAAGTGAAAAAGCTCTTAATTTAAGACACAAACTTATACTTGTTATTTAGCCCATGTCATTATTTGCRAATTGATAGGATGTTTCTTTAAGGTGTCTGGAGAGGAATAAATTGCCTAACAGCCAGTTTCAGCTCTACAGCTGCAAGAGGACAATAGGGAATGGGAGACAGAAGGGAGCTGAAGACACTTTCTGTATTTGGGCACATGCAGAGAAGAATGTTAAAAAGTCTTAAATCTCAAAAAAAAACAGTTCTATGAAAAAATGAAACAGAAATACGATTTGAAAAAGCTGTTCTTTTAAGATTTTTAGTGTATCTTTTCTTCCCTTTATGGGTTGGATTCTCCAGACAGATCACATCTCTCATCACATACTGTAGCCTGGGACTCCCAGGACACATTCATGCTGAACACCACTTCTTCCTAAGGACGGCTCAAGTTGTACAAATTTAATATAATTTGTCCTGTCAATAAGAAAAACTGCATGAAATAGCTAGAGAGGATGAACACTGCTAGGGAAACTCAGCAGCAGCCACACAGCCACCTTAACACAAGTGTTTATGATACACATGGACTTGGAGATGCTAAGCTATCATAACCACTCGCATCTTGTTCACCCTTCTCTTCTTTCAAATTCCCTTGCTCTAAAGTCCAAGGTTTTAAGTTTCCTTGCTTTTGTTTCATTAGTGCACAGATTACATTTTCATTTGCTGCTCTACTATATACACATGCACACAATATATATATATTATATATATTTATAAAATGCACACACACACAGTTACTTTCAAAATTGGGAAAACATGAATGAACACAWACCTGGAGCTTGTACAGACATTAAGAGAAAATGCAATATTTGGCAATGCCTGGACTACTATAAAATAGCAGTGTTTTTGAGAATATTTAGATCCAGCCATCTGRAAGGGAACAGAAAAAGAATGCTTATGTTCAACCCAGTTGATAGATGAGTTTTTAAGCTTCACTAATGAGTTACAGATAAATCTGGAAATTAGAAATATTAGAACATTTTATTAGGTTTCACTAAAAGTTTCAAGAATCAGTACCTCAAGAGTTGAAGGAGAAAACTTCAGGAAGACTTTACATGTTTGATTCAARTAATTGTGTTAATGATAGCCAACTAGCCACTGTGAATGTAAATTCATTAAAAAAGCAAAATTTCCTAGTGTCAGGGAGAGGGAAAAACAATTTATGTAAATGAAGCATGATCCTTCCTGTTGTTTTCAGTATAGTTGTTTTTAATCCTAACTATAATCAATTAGAAGTATGAAAGACGGATTACAGACATAAATAGAGAAATAAATCAAATTGCCCTAAGAATAAGAAGCTTAAAGACAGCCTGAGAAATGGAAAACAAATGCTCTCTCTACGCATTAAAATACTTGTGCTTTCATCGACTCTAGATTTGGAAAAGTACATCTACCCTCAGCTGCATCGCCTTGCTAGCATATTATACAGCTGAAGTTCAACTAGATGTTTTCATTACATGAAATAATATGAGTTGCAGCACCAATCACAGAACCAACTCTACAGTCTCTAGCAGTAGATTTCAGTATACCATAGGTTTCTTCTTACTAGTTTAATACTTTTCTTTCCTCAAAAATCCAGGCCCTGATAATTGGTATTCTAATTCAACCATAAACCCAAGCATAAAACCCAGCCTGGCTTTCTGATGAGGTGCAAAAACTCCATGGGCCTCACTGCAAACCCAAGGTAGACACAGTGACCTGCTTATGTAAAGCAGGAGCAGAAGCCATGGAATAGGCCAAGGTGGTAGAAATACAGTCCAGCCAGATTCCCATGGCACTCAGACTAGCCTAATTAGTTGGTGGTCTCTGTTAAGCCAGACTTTTCCTGCTAGAATCTCTTTTTCAACAGCAGGTTTAAAAATTAAGCAAACTGAATATTTGGTTAAGCTCTTTAATAAAAATGCTGATTTATTAAACAGTAGCCTTTTTAAACTTTCTTTAAATAAGCAGCAGCATTCATTGGGGCCTTTCACTTGCTCATGTGAATTAAATTTTTCAAAATATATTTCCAAAAATTAAAATAGGATTTATTTTAATAAAAAGCAACTAAAGATCAGTAAATAATTCAAAGGCTTGAACAGAAAACTGTTCATGATCTTGGCTACTGGAAAAGTCATTATTTTACAAGTGACCCTCAGAATAAGTAAGCAGCTGGAAAATCAACTATTTATATCTCTTGTTTTAAGTACCACAGACTTTGCTTTATAAAAACTAAGCTTTTGCTTCTAAATCTACTCAATAGCTTTACAATCTTGGGAAAATAGAAGAGACGAAAGTATTATCTATAAGAGTTCAAAGCGTCCATAACATTGCTGAAAGGGTCTGATTTTAAAGTTAAGATGGGAAGCATCCTAAGGACKTGTTCAGCAGAACAAGCTTTCTCCAAAGCAAAGGAGGACTCCCATTTGTGCACAGTTAAGTTATAAGTGCATGTTTTTGACAAGTTGAAGTACTTGCAAAATATTTCACTTAAGTTCTGTATTCTTTTAGGATGTTACCCTGGCACCTCTGGAAAGTCTATGTTATCGAAGCTACGCTTCAAAAACCTCTGTATGAGGACTAATATGTTTTGTGTTACCAGAGAACTGAGCCATTAACTACATTTAGTTTTTGTGACAGAAAATTTTCTCCAGTGTGATATGTARTTTAAATGGGACGCAGCAAAATAAGTTTCATGCTTTGAGTGGTATCAGTTCTCAGGAAGAGGACAACCTGTGGTAAATACAGAGCAAGACATAACAAAGTGAGAAACAAAGATTAAATTCTCAAAGACCCTTAAGAGTCTGAGGGATCATTTTTCTACTGATACTCAACTTGCAAGTAGTTGACTTTGTAATTATTTATCTAGACTTGTAATGAAGTATAACAAATTATAAAATAAAGCAAGGTTACCTACATCAAATAACATTAAAACCTGTGTAAATACGTTGCTACATAGTAAAAGCTCGTTTTCTGGGTAATACATATGCTAGAGACGTGAAGCAGACTAATTCAAATTAGAAGGAAATAAAGACTATATCCTAGTAACATTGTCCTGAACACCATATATCTTGCTTTCAGTACCGACATTACAGCAAACCTCCGCTGCTCTGAAGAACGTGGATTTTCTGCAACCCTTTCATTTGTCAAGCGGGGCTTGCTGAGGTCCAGAGCAAGGACGCCCGGGCACCCTGAGCCGGGACACGGACAGCGGCTGCAGCTCCCTAACTTGAAGGCAGCCACTGGGGGCTCCTGCTCCTCCACCTGCAGCTCAGCAGCTCCGGCCCCGCCAGCAGGACCCAAGGCAGACAACCGCCTCCTCAGCGCTCCAGCTACTGGAGGGGTGCATAGCAGAAACATATCCAAATAGATGGTCTCAAAGCCCCAACAGCTTAACCATGTAACAAGGAGGCAAAGAACGTGGTTGGCTAAATTTAGATTCATCTTGGAAAGTAATATTGGAGCTGTAAAACAGATCTGAAACTTTTAGGTTCTGGTTCTGCTTTGCTCTAATAAGATGAGAAGTCTTTTTAAAAAGTAATTCCTTTACTAATGCCAGAAGCAGACAGGCACTGGCTTCAAAAACCTTCACTATTTTTGTAGCAAAGGCCTCCATTTACTAAGACAGACATGTGYTTTAATTAAATTTCCCATAAAAACATTGGTTTAAATTGAGGGAAACTATGTCTCACCAAATTCAGTAATATTGTTGCAACCAAGAACTTAAGACAGGAGTTTTCAGATAAATCATAAATTCATTTCTCTATGGCTAAAAGTAAATAAGTCTTCCTTAAAGCCTTCATTATCAATTCTTCAGGCTTGCACACTTAGATGTAACTGTGTGAAAACCCAGCAATGGCAAACAATACAACACTGAGCTTCGTGCAGGATCCTGTGCAGTTAGGGACCAAGTAGGAGAAAGGGAACAGGTTTCCCCATGAGCCTCATCCRTAGCCAGGGCTTAGCCTGGGCGAGCACCTTCAGCCCCTCAACGCAGGGCAATCCACAAGGAGCGAGAGCAGCGGCCGCGCTCGCGTCGCGGAGCGGAGCCCTAGCCAGGGAGCGGTTACAGCACGAACGGGCTRCGGATTTCGGTGCGTGGCCTGACACAAGGGCTCGGACTAACATGAGAACCAAATCACCTCACTGGGGCGTTGGAATTCCAGCCTTCCCAGCAAACATGTTTGGTGAGGTTTCTCTCAGGAAAAAAAACAGCTRTGTCTACCTCATGCTCTAAACAATCCCTACATAGAATTCCTCGCGCTCCCCAGGTAGCTCTCACATCCACACCACAGCCCAGCATTAACCTACTGCTCATATCTATGTTCTCAGGCTTGCTATAAGCACTGCACTACAACTCCACTCAATCACTATAAATAGCAGTTTTACTTGACTGCTTTTGAGTCAAAAAAGTCTTTTTTTTGCAAGCATGATCCTGATGCATTATGTGCTATGTCTTGATCACTGATAAAGAGTCAATTGTGTTCAAAATTTCCTGTAACAAAATAATTATTTTACATTAGCACCATTTCATCTTACTTTGCTCATTTTGCTGGCTCTCAGATTCCTGTTCATCTTATTTGATTTCTTACAGAAATAACACACCAGAAAAATAAGCCTGAAAGCTTATGACTAAGATTCAGTGACATTAGATTCCACAAGTATCATTCCCCTATATTCCATGGTACAAAAGCAGCATTTAAATACAAAGTCAAAAGGCATTTCCCTTCCATCTTCCATACACTTTGAAGGGTACATGTTGCTTTCACACAGTGGGTTTCCCAGGGTAATATTAGGTACTATTAGAAAGAGAGTGATCTTTCACTTTTAGCATTCATGAAGGTATTACCTCTTACCAACACAGGGAATTTTGCTTTCTACATGCAACTTGATGATGCCTCAATTTCAAGATGAATGCAAGAATTATATGCAACTAAATAAAAATAGCACATGTGCACAGTAGTACAATGCATCAGAAAATGCATTTCTTAAAGCCATCTAAGTTGATTTTTTTTCTGTCAAAGTAGATAAAATTACCTTATTCTAATGTATGCCTTGCTGTGCATTATTTGTCTCTGAGCTGAAATTGCCATAGAAGAGCTCTATGGCAAAGCTATTCTTCATCTCCTGTGAAAATTCTGCCRAGCAAGGGCCATTTCTATGCCCTTTTTTTCTAACACTGTAAAATTGTCTATTAGCTCTCTCTGAGGTTCAAGACCTAACCCTGAAGAACAAGTGTAAACTCCCCCTTCATAGTTCCATGAACATGTTAATCATCATGAACTCTGTTACAGAAAAAGGCAATCTTGCCTGCTTCTCGGGTGCTCCCTCCTTCATACCAGCACAAGTCTTTCATCTGTAGCATGAAGAACTGTATTCATCAATATTTATCTGTTATCTGGGTTACAGCCGCACCAATTTTTGGATCAGAGTAATGCTACATCAAAGTTTACACAAGTGCAAGTCACCTGGGGACACAACCTGCTGATGTCCTTTCATCTCTGCCACCCCTGTAAAAGCTCAAATACCTTGGCAAGCAAATGGAAAGACTCCAATTACCTCCTGAAGTAATCCTTTAGCACAGCTCCAGATTAGACTCCTATTCTTCACAGTACAGACATTAACTCCTCCACTTTTGGGGGAACCTGTATACTTGGAATATATACTCACAATGCTTGGTAAAAGCTCATAAGGAAGAAAATGTTTGCTTTCAAATTTGCCTCTTTGTATTTAAGTTGCAGTATCTGTTTAAGAATTGTTTGAAACTGGAGGTAGAGGTATCAGTGCTTGCTCCAGTAGAAGGCAGCTTATAGTTTTCTTAGTCTAAAGTTCAAGAAGCAACAAGGCCAAAATTGCCAAGTCATGGTCCAGACTAATAAAAGTATCATCAG